AGGAGCTTTTCTTTTCTTTTTTTGAGCGCAAAATGTCCAAAAAAGTTTTTGTCTCTAAAAATAAATATTAATTTATTTTATTTAAGAGCTCAGATATGATATATCATGAAATTGAACCACAATTTAACTCAATGAGATGAAATAATCTTAAATAGTTATAATGATATGCTTATCTGAATGCTTCAATTCGTCTCAAAATGCGTGATTAAACAGATCTCGATAATTTAGATCCCGCCTCCATCAATAGTGATTTGTGAGATTTTGATAGCGTTTTTGCCTTTTCTTAGCTTAAATATTAATTTCAGATTCCCATTTGTATATTTTATTCCTTCACAAAAATTCTGAAAATAAATACCTAAGAACAATCGCATATTTTATTAAATAAAATATACTATTTCTCTTTAAATTGCTTCAACATTACATTTACAATAATCATATACAGTCAGAGCTCATCATAGTGAACCGTTTACGGTCCCAGTCCTCTATTAAGTTCCAAAATCTGAGTTAAATTTTTTTTTATCATTTTGAAATATTATTCGAAGAAATAGTGATTGCAATAATACATAATTTGCATTATAAATTGTTAACTAACCAAATATGTAGAGTCTCTCTATAACAAAGTTTCCTTACAGCGAATTTCTCCCTACAACGAAGTTTTAAATTGGAATGATATATAACATTCGAAATTTTCTCAATGAACCGAACGAATTATCTCTCTATAATAAACTTTTTAGACATTTGTGTTTTCAGTTTTTATTATTTGGGAATTTTTTACAAGTTTATCTTCTTTTAAAATTTTCTTTATTTTGAAGAAAGTTGCATAGAATTTCTATGAAACCGATTTGCTCTCCGACTTACTTATTTATTTTTTGGATTATTCGCTTTATTCATTCCTGCGAAATGAGTTATTTTAAACACTCCTTTACAATGTGTATTACTTCATTATTACATTCATTATATTACATTCATATATTACATTCGAATTATTCATTCTTGCGAAATGAATAATTACACTTCTTTACAATTTGTATTACTTCATTATAAATTAAAAGTCATCATCATATATTTTAGAATTAATCACATGCACTAAAAATTTGTTATCAGTTATTTAAATAACTGCAAAAAAGAAATTTGTGTCCATAATAAACGAACAACCAATATTCTTAGCTATTCACTATTAGCGTATGAAATAACAGTAGTTAAATATCAGTTCGATCTCTAAAAACGTTCGCTATAACCGAGTCTTCAATCTGGGTTTATATAGCGGTGTTAAATTGCATAAAAAAGAACGTTCTTTGTCAAATAAGATGCAATAATTCACTCCCGGATTGGACCCAGTTTTGTAGGAGGGAATCCGGTTCTTAACCTGTCTTAGGTGACCTAGTAAGTAGGTCATTCACCTGTCATTCCTTTTGCAAAGGTCAATCACAGCATTCAAAGAATAAAAAATAAAAAGAATTATTCAAATACATAACACAAAAGCTTTGCGACGTTAACATATTTAAATTATAATGAAGGGAATGAAATGAAGGGAATGAAAAAAAGGTTGGAAAATCTGCCATTATTTATAGTAATAAAATGGAGTTTAGTTTATAAGAAATATATTATAATAAACATCCAATAACCTAACTATTTTACAAGAAAACTTTTCTTTTTTTATTACATTTCAAGAATTTGTAAGCAAGGGAAAAAATCCGCTTATGCATAGTGTAAAATTATTACTTTGAGTGTTTCGATTTTTACAAATTTTAATGGTTTTTTTTAAAATTTTAACATAATTTTTTTCGATAAATCAGCATTAAAAGAAATGTACATATTGCAAAAGCTTTGTTTTCTGTGACTAAATTAAAGTTGCATAGAAAGCTGATTCATAGTGTTAGCTTAATTACACACAACAAATTATTTTCAATTATTAAATTACAAATATGCAGAAAAAAACTAATAATATACAATAAATATGGAATTTTACATTGCATTTTAATTTCAAATCTTTCAATTTAGTAAGAGAAATAAACTTTTCGCTCAGACGCACACACATAAAATTCTTTAAAGGGCGCAAGCAGTGGGGGTCAAAAGGGTGCGTCCCTCTGAAAATTAATAGCTGCACTTTATAAAAATAAACTAATTTGAGCCAAAAATCGCATTAAATCAGTTCAACAATTGAAAAAAATTACAATTAAACAGTTAAAAAAATAAATGCTATAATATCCCTATGCCAGTTGGGTTGTTATGTTTGATTATCTTTTTTTAAAAAAAGAAGCAATGATAATGCATAAAAATTAAACAAAAATTCTGAAAATATTTTTTGCCAGATAGCTTTCAGAAAAAGTTTGGAACTCTACAATAAATATTTATTAAAATCTCCTAAATTTGTTCGATTTTGATTATACTTATTAAAATTAAGTAAACTATTTCTTTTTTAAATTGCAATCACGTATGTATATTTGCGTGAGTTCACTATAGATTTCCGATTTAAACCACAAGAATTTCTCAGAATAGCAATTTATAAAAACTTTATTGAAATTTTTACATTTTCTCCTCAGGAAATAATTTTTCACGAGCTCAAAATATTATTAATTTTTTTTTTTAATCTATACCATCCATTTTTAGACACTTTATATACAGTAATTTTTAACGAAAAAATTTTTGAAAATGTTGTTCTAAAAGTTTAAGAATTAAAGAGAGAGGCTCAGGGGATGAAGAGTACACATATTGTTGATCTTGAATATTCCTTAGTATTTAATTTTATTCAAAATATCTTAAAGTTTCAGTGCAAGTAGGATTTGCGTTTGATTCATTCGATCAATATTTGAAATATTATTTTTTGTAAATGACTTTTATAGTTCTCTACAAGAAGAGATAAATTCTTATTACAGTCTAACTTTGTTATAATGAACCCGGTATATCTAGAACACTCGATTATAGGGAACGTTTTTGGCGCTCCCGTCAAAACTGTTATTTAACTAATATTATTTCATGTGCTCAACAGCTAAGAAGTTCGTTTATGATGAACTCAAATTTCCTTTTCACAGGTATAAATGTTACTAAATGTTTAAATTCAAAGCATATGAGCATGATTTTCATTTAAAAATGAAGTAATACACATTATAAAGGAGCGTTTTAAATTTGTCATTACGTTAGACTTAATAATGCGAGTGTTTCCATAAACAAGCATTTGGGAGAGCGTTTTGTAGAAACTCCAACTTTCTTTAAAAATGACGGGAATAAAAATAAACTTCTAAAATATCCTTTCTAGGTAGACAAAACTCCGTTATATGGAGAGTGGTTTGAGTTAAAAAAATATTTGTTAGAACAAGAAATACGCTGTAAGGAAACTATGTTGTAAGAAGGCTATATTTAGTTAGTTAATAAATCATTACCTTTTTTGATTGAAGAGGAAATTTAAAAAAAGAGAAAAAATAACATCTTTTTTAACTTATTTTTTCGGGGAAACAAAAATTAATAAGTACAAGAATACAACAAATTAATAATAAGTACGAAGAAAATAGACTATGTGAAAATAAATAAAATTCATTTTATTTTAATTTTGGAGCTTGGTAATTTTTTGATTTATTTATGAAAGAAAATAGGATCATTTAAAGAAAAGATTGAATGAAAACTTATCTTCTTATTTTAAAACAAAACAGAAAATTAACAGAAACAGATGCGAAAACAATTTATAAAAATAACTAATTGAGATTATTTAAAAAAAAGAAAGGCATTCACGAAATTCTACATATTCCAAATAAGTTTCGATGGCTATTTTAGTCCTTAGGACTTATTAAATTTTATTGAATGTCTTAACTGCTTTTTTTTTCCAAAACTTACTTTATAGCTTTTACTTTTAAAATAATAAATTTCCTGATGTTTTTTTTTAAAAAAAATAACAGAAAAGAAGAATAAGAGTATCATTGAGATGATTTGAAATAAGCAAGGTATTCACAAAATTCAACGTAATCAAACGAAGTTTCTATGGCTATTTTAGTCCTTTGGACTTATTGAACGTCTTAACTGATTTGTTTGTTTTTTTTTTAATTTATTTTGAAATTTTTACTTTTAAAATAATGCATTATAAATTTCCTGAATGTTTCTTAAAAAATAATAGAAGAGAAGAGTAAGAGTATCATTGAGATGATGAAGAAAGTTCCGATGGCTATTTTAATCCTTTGGACTTATTGAATGTCTTAACTGTTTTTTTTTTTAAACTTATTTATAGTTTTTACTTTTAAAATAATGTTTTATAAATTTCCTGAATGCTTTTTTTTTTAAATAACCGAAGAGAAAAGTAAGAGTATCATTGAGAGGATTTGAAAAAAACAAGGTATTCACGAAATTCTACGTAATCAAAAGAAGTTTATTTCAGTGTTTTTGACTTACTAAATGCAGGGATGTCACAGGCGACTAAAAATGTAAGAAGTGGTAGAAACTCAATACATTTTTATTTATTTTATTATTCAGTCGTATCTAACACCATAACCATAATTTACATCCCAAATTGTTCATATTTAAACTGGAAAGAAATTTTACCTTCAATAGAAAGCTAAAAAAAAAGCTGTTAATTTTAATACATTTTTGCCCTTTATCAGTCACCACTATTTACATTTTTAGTCGCCAGTTGCATCCCTGTGAATGTCACAACTGTTTTTAAAATACTTATTTTATAGTTTTGGTTTAGAGTCAAGTGGAGTCTCATAAGCATTGAAATAAAAACTTTTGAAATAATGCAGTTTGAGTTTTTTAATTGTTTTTTTTTTTATCTTCAATTCAGCTTATAGGGCAGATTGTAAGAAATTCTTCTTATATTAACTTTATTTAAACATTGATAAATATCTAGTTTCTTTAAAAAAAAATAATAATAATTTTAAATGAAGGGGGAATTTAAGTAGATCATAAAATGTTAATAATAGAGAAGAAAAAAAATAATCCTCCAAACTATTAAATATCAATAAAATGTTTACAAGAAATAGTTAACTAATGAATGCAGTAAGATGAGTACTTACTTTGAAATGTTGAAATGATAAGTTTGGAAAGAAAATGAAACGAGTGAAGGATTTTATAGAAGATGAGACAGGTCACGTGACCTACCCGGAAGTCACGGCCGAGAAGAAGGAGGTTAAGATCGTGTACTCATCTTCTTCCAATGAATTGATCGAGAAAAATAAATTCACTTTGTTTACTTTATGGAGGGAATCTCTGATTTAATTCAAATAAGTAGAATCGTTTTTGCCATTTAATTATATACTTATATTGACCTTGTAAATTGACATAATAGGCAGAAAAATTCCTGTTGTCATACTTTTAAAGTAGATATTATGCTTAGGAAAATAGGGAAATTCCTTTAATAAAGGTTATATTTTAATAATTTTTTAGGGTTTTATTATTCCTTTATAATAAATGAAATAAAACTAGTAATTTTGATAAAAATTTTATTCCATGGAAAGTCTAATGGATTCATTTTGGGAAAAATATTTATATTTAGTCGGAATTGTTGGTGATTTTCATAAAAGCAATTTATAATGATTAAAAGATAATCATAATATGGTTATCTTTTGATATGACGAGATAGAAAAATTCCTGTTGTCATACTTTTAAAGTAGATATTAAACTTAGAAAAATAGGGTAATTTTTTTAATAAAGGTTATATTTTAATAATTTGATTTTCTTTCGATGTGACGAAATGAAGTTATCGAAATATCCTATCGAATAATCTATTTAAATTCATCCAACAATTTTAAAAAGAACAGTCCCTGTTCTTAAGAAAAATCACATCTAAAAAATTCATTATGTTTTTTTTTTCTTAATATTTTATATTATAACCGTCGTTGAACAGCCGACCCAATTTTCGGGTTTATGACTACTTATGTTCAACTCCATAGCCTTGTAATTTCTAACCCTATCCAGAAGACAAGGAAACTCCTGGATCAAGTATTGGGAGAAATTTGCCTTCGTGGAAGACTTTTTGATAGAACTAACCAGCATTTGCGTTACATGGAGAGGAAAACCACGAAAACCGCACATGGTTAGCCTAACTGCAAGGGGACTCTAACCCATGATCTGTCTACCACTGAGGATAATTTACGTCAGCACTGTTGTCGGTGCGAGCCGCGGGCTGAATTCGAATCAGTCAGCTGACACTGGGATCGAACCTAGGTCACCTAGGCGAGCGCTCTATCCCCTGAGTCACCGCGGCTCATTATGTCTTTTTTTGTAGTAGTAGTAGTAAACCGCTAAGCTAAAGTTAAGTTTAGTAAAATGTTTTAAAGATTTAAAGAAAAAGAATTTTGCCTTTGATTAAGAATGAGCAATTTCTGGCTTCAAATAACAGTTAAAAATAAAAACTGGAATTCTACAGAAGGCATTTTCATTATTTTTATAAAAAATAATAAGTATCATATATTTTTATGATAAGAAAAAAAGTGTTTTCAAAACCTCGGGTTTAAAAGAAAAAAAGTTAATTTATGATAAAAAGCTTGTTAATAGAAGGTGACAATCATTTAACTATATGAAATAAAACCATCCTAACTTCTGAACGGTGTGCGTAAAGTTTAAACTTCGTGGTTGGCTGCAGGGCATGATGGGAATTAGTATGCGCTTGCGCACATAACTTGTAGTTGATGCCATGAAATGTCACGGTACAATGTGCCTGAGCGTGTTTCGCTTGCAATGGGACTCGTTTGTCCGTCATATTCTCCGGATCTGAATACATGTGACTTATTTTTTGAGGCTATTGTGGGGAGAGGAGTTATCGGCAAAGTCACGTTCATCTATGAAAAAGTACCCCAACATAAGATCGAGTTAACATATCTTATATACTAGTGATTTGGAATTACATTTTTGTAGTGGTAGACGCACTCTACAGTACTCCCCCACTAGAATTTTATCTGTCATTGCTGTTTTGGGAGAAGCCGGGAGAGCTGCATTAAGATCACCGGACTTTGAGTGCTGATCGTGAGAGCTGTATTAATTTCGGGGTCAAAGTCACTCTTGTGTTGCCATTAGCAATCGAGTGTATACGGTCAATGTTGTGTGTGATCTTGACTGAGTAACAACGGTGCCAGGAGTTGGATAATTTCGCAGTCACAAGTCAACTGTTTAATGTGGAATCTATCGAATTAGGCGTGTTCAAATCGAAGTGGGAGTTTCTGTCAAAGTATGCGTGTTCACATCACTTCCGGGTCACCTATGTGGGGATAAAAGTTATCGACCATGCCAACCTTCATCTATGAGAAGGTATCCCAACATAGAATCGAATTAACATGTCTTATATACTAGTGATGCGGAATTGCATTTTTGTAGTGGTAGACACACTACAGCTATATTAAAACAATGTATACAGAAATAAGCTAATGTATACCAAAAACCATTACTGAAAACTGCCATTCAGGAGGTCATCGACAGCATCGATGCTCCGACATTTTGGCGGGTCATGCAGCTATTCGTCTGCGCCACATCAGAACCAATGATGGCAGACATATAGAACATTGTTTTATACACACACAAGAAAAGCTCGACTCAAGAATCAAAGCACCACACTTCACGACGACATGATGGATTATATTTATTAAAAATTTAGAAGTAAAAATGTAAATGTATTTTAACAGCGCCATCTATTGTTAAGTAACAAGGCAATGTTCGTGTCTTACCAGTTAATGACATATTCTACAGTTAATGACATATTCAACTGCTTAAATTTAAACAATCATAAACAATTCAATACAATGTACACAATAAAGTAAAATATTCAAAATACACATAAATTGAAATTTTCACCCTTATTGATCATTTGAAAAGGGTAATATACAAAGTTTAGTAATTGGACATTTAAAAATTCCATTTTTAGTTTTCACTAATACGTACTACTCTAATTTTATTGCCTTTACCAGAATACACTTCAAGAATTCGACCAAGAGGCCAGTTACACACAGCCAAATTATCTTCTTTCAAAATTACCATATCATTAATTTTTACATTGTTTTTCTCAAAATACCATTTTGTTCGATTTTGAGGTGTACTCAGATAGTTATTTTTTATTCGATTTATTTTTATAAGATTCAAAATAGAAATATTATTTAATGTGCGTAAACATCTTGGCTTAGCTATTAAAAAAAGCATCAAAAATATACTTGTTTGAAATTATAACAATTTTAAGCAATATTAATTAAAAGCAATATTATTTGAATAATATTGCTTTTAAGTGTATTCAATGTCGCAGTTGATTATTGTTAGAAATATAAAATAATTACAAAAAACTTTTATCAGACTCTAATACTTTCACTTCAGATAAATCAAAAAGGAAATTGATTTAACTATGTTAAAACGGTTAAGGAAGGAGGAAACTGATTTAATTATTCATAGTTGCAATTTAAAGTTTTCTACACAGGAAATATCTTGCTCTAAGTTTAATCGAAAGAACAATTTGTCTATTTAGAAATAAATATTATTCCTTATTAAAAATTAAAGAAAGCTGATATTTAATAAAAATAATTAATTTCTGCTAGTTTCTGAATGTAAACAATCTGAACAATCAATAAAATAAAATTCTCACGATATAATAAATTACCCAAAAGAGCTCAATACGAATAGTCATGACAAATTATTGCTACTAAGTAAATAAGAAGTAGGTAAAGAATCAATAAATCATTACTGAGAAACACTACGAAATCATGCTCTAAACTGGAAAACATATATCGACACAATTAAAGAGCTTAATGGAAGAACCAGGTGACATTTTTAGGAGAAAATAATGAATGAGAAAATATAACAGAAAGTGGTTGCGTCAATATGAATAGTGGTTGCTTAAAGGATTCATTTTAATCATCAATCAATTTTTTAAAACTTTAATTGTAATTTTCACATCACTCAACCACATAAGTTTTTGGTATGCTTACAAGATTTTTATTTCAAATATGGCACAGGTAAATAAAATAAAGCGAAGAATTTTATCTCGGCTCCTAATAAAAATTGGTGATGAAACAGTTCGAATGCAAATTTTTTTTTTTTTTTTTTTTTTTTTTTTTTTTTTTTTTTTTGTTATAAGAATATAACATACCTCGTTTTTCCACTAAGTTTTTCAATTAATATAGCTAATATAGCTTTTGTTTAATAATACATCCTTATTGGTAGCTTTACGTTATGAAATAAAAACTCGTTTTGTGTAATTCATTTCATAGTCTTTAAAATTTACCTTTGTCAAGTAATTATCTTCGATATATGTCCCTTTCGAGGGGAAGTAAATCACTTATTTCCAAGGTATACATATATTAGCACATTTAGTACTAATTACTTAACCCTTCATAAAATAACCTTTGGATAAACGAATATTATAATTCAATGCAATTGTTTTTATTTCATTTAAAATGGTTTCGAGACATTTTAAAATACGCACAAAGTTAAAGTACGTACAAGAGTCCAACCATATTTACGACATAGCGGCTTATTTAGAGAAAACATGTTTTTGTGCTTGGTTTAGAAACTTAAAATATCGTCTGCCCTTATTAATTAGCAAGTTTGAGCTCACCCTTCAACCGAGCCATTTAGGTTGAGTTTTAGAATATTAAGATCTGACTATTCGATCAAAAGTAATTCCGGGTGGTCTGTTTTATTATGCACTGCACATATGCATATTTATTTTTATATGTATTTAAATATATATGTATTCCTGAAACTTAAAATAGACGAGCAGTTTTTTAAAAATACGTGCAAGGGCGCCGGCAGGGGGGTGCAAGGAGGTGCACTTGCATCCCCCTGGCTTTTTTTTAAAACAATTAAAGAGATACGGAAAAACAATTTTAATATAAAATTTTTTTATTAAAAATATTTTTATTCAAAATCAAATAATTAAGTAATCATTGATACATAAACAATTAAAGAATTGTTTAATCAAACAAGAATTATAATCATCTTGTTTGCTGTCCAAATCTGTTTATAACGTTTTCAATAAATTCTGAGTCATCTTTGATTCTTTTCTTATGATCACTGAGCATGCACAAACTACTTAATCTCTCGTGAGACATTGTAGATTTATACCATGTTTTGATGCTTCGCAAGTGCACGTAGTGCACTAAAAGTGCGTTCAATAGTGCACGTAGT